CTGATCGTTCAGATCAGAAAAATCCCAAATTTTTTGATGTCTTCACTTTCAACACGGACGCCTACATCAAGTGCTTTGAGACGGTAGTGCCGCTCTGGGTCAAGAGGATGGCTGCTGGAAGACCCTATGTGTAGCAGCTTTAATTTGCACTGTGTAACCCAAACAGGAAACCCTAGACATCCTGGTTAGACAATTTCTGGGACCACATTAACACTTACATCTGGCTACTTCAACTCCTCAAGCTGGAAACCACTTGATTAATATGTGTGAGGTGCAGTTGGGCGAGAATACAACATATCTCCTTGTAATACCAAAAATGAACTGAAGGCAAAGATTATGGCAACATACACCAACTTAAAGAAGGTCCAGATGATTTGCAGCATACTCCGAAGTCGGCTGGAAAACATGGCTGAAGCCAAATGAGATTCTATAGAATAAATATACTCTTTAGTATTTCAACATATTTTTAATGTAATTTTGGTAAATATATCTGTTAAAATGAGATGTTAGTATTATTTTAATTTTTTACTAATTTAGACGACAATTTATCTATCGCACCATATATATATTTATATGTGTGTGTGTCTGTGTCTGTGTGCGTGCGTGTGTCTGTCTCTGTGTGTTTGTGTGTGTAGACAAACTTTGATATGAATTCGGATATAAAATCATGCAGCCTAAATTATTTTTAACATAAATGAAGAAACTTCTGAAAAATGCAACTCCGTAGACTGATGTAGACGATGCCTATCGTGACGTAAAGTGCGAACAAATGGAGTTTTTGAATATTGTTTTTACATGCATCTTATCTTTCTATCCTAATGACTAAGGAAAAGAATAGAAAACAAAAAATATCCTCTAAAGTATAAAACAACCAGAGATTGTATACGCTTCACAAAGACTTACCGGGAGTCCACTGGGCAAATGGTAGGAGACCAATACCAAGCTAAGACACCACAGATATAAAACACCTGATATTTCCCGAGCAACGAAGAAAAAATCGAATTCAACAGAAGACGATTGTTTATATGTCGGAATCTCAACGTGATGTCTTTTGGATATTTTATTTTAGGTAGTATTAAATTTCGAATATATTTCATTAAAACTTCAGCAATATGTAATAAGTTTATTTATATATATATATATATATATATATATATATATATATATATATATATATATTAAATTTAAATTCAAACAGTTTACTCAAAGATGCAACTTCGTTTCGGTGCATTTCAACTGCCCCTCGACGGGTAAGAACCGAAAATGGTTATGAACAGTTGAAATGAACGGAAACGAATATATATTCTAGAATTCTTCTGATACAAGACAAATTATTTCTCACTGGTCATAGAAACATTTTGATGGTTTACTGATTCAAGTGATCTTATTTGTCTCAAGTTTTCTTAAGCAGTGAAACTTACAGTCACCATGAAAAAGGTTGATTCTTATGGGCAATATATATATATATATATATATATATATATATATATATATATATATATATATATACTTTTATCTTTTGCTGTCGGCATATATATGTATCGCGGTTAGGTTTTTTATGTAACGTTTTCATGTGTTCTTATAATTTTTTTCTTTTTTGACAAGAGTAATATTTACTTATAATTGTGCAATTGGCAGGTTATCCCTCTCTAGGGATAAGTTTTTATTTAATTTTTTCTTTTTTTTTTCTTGACATAAATAATATACAGTTGACATTTATATACGTTTTTGTTTTTACTTTTAGCTGAGTGCATGGATTACAAATCAAAATAAATCATCCTTGATAATGACTGATTGAATAACAAAAACAGCCGGACATACAGAACATTCGGGCAATTTCTACATAATTTATGTCCCGAAAAATTAAAAGAAAAGAAAAATTAAATAAAATCTTAACCCCAGTACCTAGTCAGTCGTTTTTAAAGAAACTTTTAACAATATATTTAGGAAAAATACACAAAAAATATCTTGAAATACCAGATTTATTCAATAAAATCGCAATTGGCGAAATCTCCAGATGACATCGGAATCTCCTGCAACTTCTGGACGGTATATTTCTTTACTGTGGTAAATGCTGCAATAATTCTTGCTTTCAGTCCATCTTTGGTGTTACAAGGTGTTTTGCTGGTCTCTCGCTCAAATGTGCCCCACACATAATAATCTAGGGGGTTGCAGTCTGAGAATTTAGGTGGTCATATGTAAGGAGTGATGGGGTTGTAGACATTGTCTGACAGCCAGGACTGGATTTCATGCTTGTATGACATGGCGTAGAGTCCTTTTGCCAAACATTGTCTTCCTGCAGTCATACAGGGCAGCACTACTTCTTCAAGGCACTTGATGTACCCCATCCGTGATGATTTTTAGGTCATGTGACAAGATGAATGGAGGCATAACCTCACCATCACTAGTGATCACGCCAAACAGCTTCGTAATCACCATTAGACTCATTCAACTCTTTCCAAATCCATTGCGGTATCCTCAGATTGACACCCAAACACTC